TAACAGCAATAACATTGAACCAGAAAGTCTAACATTTAGAGACTTGCGCTTATTATATGCTTGTACGTGATCCTTTTCTTTCTTAACATTTGCAAAAGGTGCTTTTAGTTTTGTGTACTGATTTCTAACATCATTGCCTCTAGCACGCTATTATGTTGCTTTTTGTTTGTTTTCCCGCATGCTTCCTGCTGTCCATTGTAGGGGCCCAGGGACTCGTCAAGCTGCTTACTGCAACTTTTTTCTTGGGCCCCACCATCATAAAGGATGGAAATAAAGCATTATTATTATAAAAACGAAACCTCGTTCAGACAAAACAAGGAACATGCAAAAGTGACTTAAATAAAGCCATAATATACGTTAATCACAATTTGTTCATCAAAAGTGGTATACCTGTGTCGCCTTTCAGTGTAGCTTCCATTACGTCCAACGCAAACCTTCCAACGATTACAAAGTGCGTGGAATCTCAGAAGAAAAAATCTGCAGAGACACTTAAGACTGCTTCCGTGTGAAAATGCGTAAGCATGACGCACACACTAGTCACAGCTTTAGTCATCCGGAACCGTGGAGCTGCCTTGGCGTCGGGGAAGCGTGCTCGTCTCGCACCCCAGAGGCCCGGGTTCCATTCCCACCCAGACCGAAATGTACGAAAATTTCTTTTCAAAGCCCTTAATTTACTTTGTTTACAAGAGCCTACCATGTTTGACGTGCTTTTACTCTTAGCGCTGCGCCGCCAGCAGTTTAGCTGGCTCCTTAGTAAAGATGACGCCCTTGCTATAAAGCCACCTGACGCGTCGCAGCCAATGGGAATTTTGGTGCCGTTTGCCGGCTTCACTCCATGGGACCAGTTAATGCTTTCGCATTAAAAGATTTCTTCAGTCACGCGCGCTGACCCATGCACCGCCTGCGGCACCTCTTCATCGGTTTTTAAAGTACTTCCCCCCATCGCCTCCTTGAGTGGTCTATTACACGTTTGTAGAAAAAGGCTCCTGTGCGCTGCCTTTGTGAGCTGGCGAGGCGTAACGTTTCCTCCATGTTGAGGTGGGCTAGGGCGATTGGCTAGGGGCACGTCATTGAGGTGGGCGAGGACAAGATGCCGGCGTCTGGTGCATCGCCGATGGTCGATGTTAGCGCACGTTAGCGACGTACTTACTGTTTCGAAACGCAAGGGGAGGTATGCAGCACGTCGTGGAAGCCAGTGCTGCCTCGAGCGCAGCCATCGTTGATGCAATAGCCATGCGGCTCCTGCCGTCCCTCCCGTTTGTATTCGTTTAAAGCGTTTATATTTTCCTCTTGGTTTTAACTGGGATGAAAATAGCCACGTAGCGCGTGCTAAAAACGTTCCCGAAGACAATAAAGGTTCGTTCAATTTTTAATTCTTGTATACAAGCAAGTAGCGAACGTCCTGGCTGGGGTGTGCGTCCGGCTCAACTGCTCGCGGTTCGAAGTTAATCCGGGACCTCACTTGCAAAGGTGTATATGCAGTAATGCAGGGCGTGGCCTAGCGGTTATGGTGAACTTGGAAGACCCTCGATGTGCAGGACATGCGGGGTTGCAACTTGCAACCGTTGGATGGGCACTACGGGACCTCGTATTGTCGCAATGTCATGCTGCAACACGGCGCAAGTCAGCAGAAGTCCCAGTCATTTTAACGTCATGACAAGTCGACCATAGCCTTTGAGATCTGCATACGTGTGACCACCGAGCTGCAGCATGGTGATGCGCTAAGATGTGGTCAACTGGAAAATTTTGAGCAGAATCGGAAATATTAAGTATACTAAAAAAATTAGACGTTTACAAACCTCTGTAAGGCGAAATTAGAGCGCAGCTCTTGAGGAGGGGAGGGTATGGAGGTTAGGGTATGCCCCTCCTCCTCCGCACCCTCCCCTCCTCCTCTCATTATTTCCTCCTCCTCCTCTTCTTCTTTCATCTCCTTCCATCGTCCTCTCTCCACCTCCTCTCCCCTTCTGCTCTTCCTCTCCTCCTCCGTACCTCCCCCTCTTCCTTCTCCTCCGCACGTGACGTCAATTTTCTCGCGAAATCTAGTGGAGAAACTAAATTTGTTCATAGATAACGTGACACCAAGTCATGTGTCATTTTCCCCGCTAAATTTAGCGGGGAAACTGAACCGGTGTTGAGGTCACGTGGCGGTGACGCCGACACCGCCGCCGCGAAACCCGGAAACGGGAGCCTAACAGCTGCGGTCTAAATATAAAGGGATCAGCAGAACTGGCGTTGATCACGTAAGGCCCTTCGTCCACATTCACAACAACGTCGCCATCATTGCTTTATCTCGTAACGACTCGTAATCTGCTCAATGCCATTGTTTCGAACAACCATCCTCGCCCGTTCAACGGCCCCTCCTCCTCAACCTACTCATCGCTTATAAATTCACAATCCAGCGTGCTATACTCCATATCCCAGTATGCAGTACCTTCATATGCGCTTTGAAAGTATCCTACATTTCAGCACACACACATTGTATCGGGTTGTTGATTTGACACTGAAATCGAGCGATGCATACGCCATACATACGCCGCGAATGCTTATGACAACGGACAAAAACACGAAATTTTTTTAAATAATTGTCTGTGCTCAACGCGTTTGATGGTCTGGAACGAACCCTTGGAACTTGGACTCGCTTGTCAAAGCCTGTCAAAGTTCAAGTCACACACTCGATGCTCGTGTTTGCAGACAGTATGCTGCGTGACAGGATTAGCGAAGGGGTCTGGTACGATTGTACGGTTTTCAAAGAAGTCTGGTGACCTGAGTATCTTCCAGTTCTCGCGTTTTTCGGTTCAGCCGTTTTGTGCTGCTGATCATTGCCATCATAGCCACGCGCTCTTGGGTTGGCTGTGCTGGGCTCCGAACATTGTTAGAATTTGACCCTTTTTTTAGGTATTTGATTGGTAACGACGCATTAATTGTACCGACGCATTAATTGTACCGACGCATTGATTGTACCCGAGCGCTTGCCAAAGGATGATGTAGCGTTTGTGCACACCTCGCATTCGGTACCATGCAATGTGGTCCTGATCTCGTCAACGTTTGACCAGAATGTCACGACTAGAGTTAAATAGTTACGAAGACATGCGAAGGAATTAAAGCAGAAAAAGGAACCGCTCCTATTTCTGAAATTGAGACATCAATCTTCTGACACATCGCCTTGCACGCTAGTAAGCTTCCGTCAGATTACCCATCATCTGCAGTTCCCTAACTTCTAACTCAATGTCATTTCTTGATATTTGTGAATGCACAACTCAATTTTGTAATAAAAAGGGAATAAAAAAAACCAGAGCAGGCTAAGGAAGGAAGAAAGCCCCACGAGGGCGCTGGGGTCGCAGTGATAAAGAAGGGCTCTACACCCATGGTAAAACGTAAACCAGGCTTGCCTCGCATGAATGGTAAGAAGCTGTGGACGTTAGTGGGAAGATATAGTTAAAACAAAATTAATATTAAATACAGCGGTATCAGAAAAAAAAAAACACCAAACATTATTTTAGCCTAAGCAATCTTAAAAAAAAAAGATAAAAAAAAAATCTTTCCTTGTCCCTCTGGAGCTGCCTTGAGCGCGTTGTAGACGAGTCCCCTCAGACCAAGATCAGCGTAAAAGCAAGGCGGAAGAGTATTCAGTCATTGCTCGGGTTTCATCATCCTGGCCCGTACCGATCCATCCATGCCTCGAAAACCGAGCAAAGACTCACCAAGCAGAAGATGATCAACGGTAAAAGAGGGTGCACCCCGCTGGTTCAAAGTCATACTCGAGAATCTCGCAAAGGGTGCGGAACGTCCTGTCCCAGTATGACACGCAGCCCCTTACTGAAACTCTTTTGGGCTGTCGATTTTGTTACTGCATGTAAGCTATATGTGAAACAAGAGTGTATGTCCAATAAACTATTTCTTTATCAATTCCACTCAACTCGTGAAATGTGATCTTTATTCTTCCTCTGGGTAAAGAGGCCGTCTCATTTACATCAATATAAAACGCTAGCGGATTAACTAGCAATCAGGCATTAAAAACACGGCAAGATATTTTGCTTCAATGGCTTAGGTCGAAAGGCTTTATTTGAGTAATTGTGCATGAAAAGCTATAGATAATAAAATATAACGGGACAGATAATGATATAAAGTCAAATAACGGTAATACGGGTGTTCTGCTGAACACATTAGCAGAAAGCAGTTAATTTAGGCGCGAACTGCTAATGTCGTGTGCTGTTTTGTCGCGTGCTGTTTTGACATTGCATGCTCTTCTGTCGGTCTGCTGTTCTGACGCCGTGCTGTTTAGTCGCGTGCTGTTTATACGGGCGCTGTTTTATCGCTGTGGTGTTTTGACGCGGTGCTGTTTTGACCATGCTGTCTTGTCGCGCGCTATTTTGTCATATGCTGTTCTGTTGTGGTGCAATTTATAAATACCAAAACTATGATTTTATGTCGGTGCAAATAATAAACAGAAACCCATTATCAATATGTGCTCATCGATACAAAAAAAAAATGAAAGGCGTTTACAACTTCCTGTAATGCCGAATTAGAGCGCAGCTCTTGAGAAGCAGGAGGAGGGGAGGCTACGGAGGGGACGGTATGCCCCTCCTTTTCGTCCGTAGCCTCTCCTCCTTCCTCCTCATCTACCCCTCCCGTGCTCTCGCGTCCTCCTCCTCTCCTGCTCCTCCCCTTCCTTCTCCTCCCTCCAGCGCGATGCATTATGAGAGGCGTCCCATAATGCAACGCGCGCCTCACCGCGGTGCATTATGGGACGTTTCCCATAATGCACCGCGTGGTTAATCGCGACGGAGACGCCGACCCGTTGTGCCGATGCGTTATGGTTACGCCGACGCCACTCAAGCCGGAAATGGGCGCCTAAGAGCTGCGCTCTAAAAGCGAACCAAGCCACACCGAGCGTTTTAGTGCGGTCAGATTTATAAGGTACGGCACCTGCCTCCCGGCTGGTACTGGTTGTCCTCCTATGGTTTGCTAGCGTTCACAATCTTCTCTCTCGTTTTCTGCAGTTGGGTTACGAACAAGGAGGCCCGTGCATCGGCCCAGATGACCTGCCGACCACGTCACAGCATCTGCTTCCTCAAGACGCACAAGTGCGCCAGTTCATCGGTGCAGAATTTGCTGATGCGTTACGGTGATAGGAACAACCTGAGATTCGTGCTCCCACCAAAGAACAACTACCTGGGGCATCCGAAGCATTTTAACCGCCGGGTGGCTCTTGATTACGACACACGGCGCTACGACATGTTGGTCCACCACTCGCGTTTCTACGAACGGGAGATGAGAGCAGTTCTTGGTCCAGACCCCGTCTTTGTGACGATTGTACGAGAGCCGGCTTCCCTCTTCGAGTCCATCTTCAGCTACTACGCGCTGGAAAGGAAGTTTGGTAGGCCACTTAACGTTTTGTACAGAAGCACAATCGACTCGAACGTCTCGTCAACCGTTAATTTGGACGCTCGATTTTTCAACGGAAAGATCGGGACCAACCAGATGAGCTTCGACCTTGGATTTGAACCCGACCAGTTCCTCAACGCATCTGCTGTTGAGGAATTTGTGCGCTATATTGACACTACTTTCGATTTGGTTATGGTAGCCGAGCGCATGAACGAGTCACTGGTTCTCTTGCGCCATCTACTCTGCTGGGACTGGGACGATGTTGTAATGTTCAAAATTAACGAAAGGAACAAAAAATATAAGAAGCGACTGGAGCCTGAAGAGCTGGAAGGACTTCGGAAGTTAAACGCCGTTGACAGCGAGCTCTACAGGTATTTCACCAGGCGACTGGACGAAAGGATAGCTGCTTTCGGACATGATCGAATGGCAGCAGAGGTGGAGAAGCTGGTTAATAACACCAATAAATGGTACTCTCGCTGTGTGGAAGACGTGACTCCTGTGCACAGGAATCAAAGCAAGAAGTTTTGGGTCAACCCAAAGGTGAGTTCGACCCTCCATTTACGCTCTTTAAAATGTTAGTAAATGCAGCAGTTACTACTTCTTTGTGGCTGTTATTACCTTTTACTACTTGTTTACTACACGATTGACGCCACGTGTAGTAAATGTTGTAGTTACACCAGCCAAGGAAGTTGAGCAATTATTCATTACTAGCCAAGAAAGTCGAGCTTGTAGTCATTACTACTCTTGTTGCGTAGCTATACGAAGAAGCGAAAACATGGCCTCTAAGGGGCGCAAATGAGCAGGTTGTTATATCGACTGTGGCAAATAATTCCAGCATAGACATTTACTTTTTACTAAGAGGTTCATTCTTGATGAGCCATTCAAATCAATTTCGAAGAATGACATGAAAAATAATAACGCAACATACTTGTAAAATCAATATTTGCTGAGGTGATTACCGGGAAGAGGCGAGCTTTAAATCTGGCTTGTATAAAAGGCGGAAGATCAGCCGGTAATGTCAGTAATCGATGCAGCGCATGTTCATGTCAGTATTTTCTTGTGTTTCGATTGTGTATGTGACCCCTGTACGTGATACGTTCAGCCAATTGATGACGCGCACAATGTGTGCTTAATATTAGGTGTAGGAGATGCAACGCCTGAAGCCCTGCAGCCGAGCGAGCAATACAAACATTCTTTGTGGCCTTGGAATTTGGCGTTATAGCCACGGCCGCTTAGTTTCTCGAGCTGGATGGCGCTAGCTCAATAACAAAACGGTTAACGGTTACTAACTTCCTTGGTTAGTAACTGTTACCAATACTCTTATTAGTAATGGCGGTTACTGAGATGTTAGTAACAAATGTGACAAGCAGTCATATCTGTTACTAATCATATGTTCGTTTACGAACCTATGGTTAGTAATTACTACGGCCTTTTTATAAGAGTGTAAAGTTCATGGTCAGTCAAGCATTTTGAAACTATTATTAGATGATTCAATGAACACCTTCTTTGAAGACCCTAGAGACCCTTGTCTATAGAAGCACGCCCACCTCTACAGCCACAAGCTCAGTGGTTGTGCTCGTAGGATTGCTGTGATATCTGAATACCTATTTTGATTGTCTTCTACTTTGATGATGAGGGCGTTGTATATTTACGCTCCTGGTACCAAAATCGGGGCACCAAATGTTTAGAAACATCCTGACGAGCAGTGGAATCTAACACTGCGTCAGCTCGCCATTATATGGAGGCTCAGGTGGCGCTCTCATTTAAACAAGAAGTCTCTGCGGGAATGCTAAGCACAAAGCTACTTCAGGTGCGGAGTGCCCAAATTTCGCTTGTTTGGATGGCTGTCCTCTGTATTTATTATTTATCGGTGATTGGTTATTCGTGTGCTCTGTGCATGCTAAAGACTGGAGAACGCTTAAGCTTCGCCTTTAAGAATGGAACGCGATAGCGCAACATAGAAACACGCACTCGTCCCCAAGCCGTGCAAGCATGCCTTGCGTGGCCTGATTCCACTTCCGGCGTTCGAACGAGACGGACGTGTTATCACGAGCTCCGTCGGAGCGGCAAAAACGGCCGCTTCAGGCCGTGATACTACTGTTGATGCAGCCATCGAAGATTATCAGGCTATCCTTCCTTAGCTCCCCACCAGATACGTTGTTACGAATACTGTGTTTTTTCCCTGCAATGTGAAAGGCCGTCCGTACCGAATACACGACTTCAGGTGGGAACTAGAACGGCTCGACGTGATGAAGGACCTGACTTCTGCCGGTCCTCATCAGATGAACCACGTATGGATGTTAAGGATGCACTCCCTCGCAGCGAAGCAACGACTGGTCGACGGTAAGGAGCTGACCATCAACGGGGGGGGGGGGGGGGGGGGGGGGGGGGTCATCATCAACTCTGCGAACAGGGCGGTGAAGGTGCAACTTCACTGGGTCCCGTACGACGTGCCCAAGGGCCAGGTTAAGAAAGAGCTGCAGCTCTATGGCAAGGTCTCCGAGATCACCAGGGAGCTCTTCCGGAAAAAAAAGGTTATGAAGCTGTCGAATCCAACACCCGAAGTGTCCGTCTGACCTTCAAGAAAGGCTACACTGTCGACAGCCTCCCCCACGAGATTCTCCTGGAGGACTGTAAGGTGCTCGTTGTTGTGCCAGGACGCGCTCCACTTTGCCTGCGCTGCCGTCGTACGGACTCCATTCGCCGGGACTGCCGTGTCACCCGATGCTCCGACTGCCATCGTTTCGGCCATGAGGCCGACGACTATGTCAAGACAGCTACGTGTCGATTGCCCGCCACCGCAAAGTGGACGACCAGTTAGACTTCGTGATGGACGACGCCGAAGCGGAGGAGGCGGTCGGTGCTTCTGAGCCGACCGTACTTCCGCCGTCCGACGCGTCGTGTCGGCCGCCCCAGGAGACTTCGATCTTCCGGCCTCATCGGCTGGAAGAAACGGCTCCTGCCTGTGCCGCAAGGCGCGGGGTCGGCGGGCGCGAAGACTGAGGAGCAATCGGCTCAAGAGCAAGTTCACAGCCAAGGCGACGGAAGTGACCCAAGGGACGGTGACGACGGTATCCGTAGTATCGACCCTTCGGCTGCTGTGCGAGACACGGATGTTGAGATGAGCCAGGTCATCAAGCGACTGCGAGATTCAACGTCATCCCCGGAAGACGCCGCAGCAGGACGGACCACAACGCAGCCGGATGCCGGGACTTTTACCAAACGAACTTGTGTCCAGGCAATGCCTCGCATCCCACCTGAAGACTGTTGCAGAAAGAACTCGCAGTGAGTGTCCTGCCATGAAAGTTTCGGTTCATGTAGCACTGCCTTGCCTTTTATTAGCATCTGTTCGAGGGCTTTTATTTAAGCGATGGGAAATTAACGAATTTCGACCCGAGCACCCTCGATCTTCGTGACTCAATTCGTTTTCTTTAAACGTTCGCTGCTTCAACTCGCAGAAAAAAGCAATACCTGCTCCAAAGGCTGTTGATAAAATAGATTTTTTCGCCATGCAGGAAACAAAAGATGTCATCCGACTGTGACATAGAGCAAGCAGTGTGACCCTTTTTTAGTCACTATGCGAAATGTTTGCGAGTCACGCGGTGGGAGTGTCGGCGGGCTGTTTCCTGTTTTTAAGAAGTCAGTGCCACTGCGACGCTTGACCGTTGATGTAGATGAGTGATAGCTTCGGGGGAGACGGTTTGTCGTCCCACAAAACGCCAAAACCTAACGGCCTTCGTAAAAAAAAAGAAGAGTATATATGTTTGTTCCTCCTCCTCCTTAGGAGTTTGTTGTTTCTTTTAATTTTAGAAGGTAATTGGCGAGGGTTACTTTCTTAATGCGTTACAGCCTTCTTTTCTACAAATGCACACTGTATTGATCCCAAAAACGCCTGACACGATTCAGGCGAGACGCGTCACCGAATATCGCATAATATCAAATATCGCATAATCAACGTTGTGCAACGTTGATTATAAAATTTTTGCGCTAGTTTTGACCAGCAGATTACAGCATGTTGTCAGAAAGTGAGTTGGTGAACACCAAACCTGTGGGATTCGTGGACGATCCATTCAAGCAAACATCCATGTTGCGCGTACTATATTAGAATCTGTCGATAACGAAGCACGCCAAGTAGCCATGATCCAAGTCGATTCGCAGAAAGCGTTCGACCGCGTGCAGCATGATGTGGTTTGGGCCGCTTTCAAGTGAGCAAATGTGGGCGATATTATTTTTGATGGGATCCGTACAGCGTACACCCGGTGCACCACCAAGTTAGTACTGAATCATTCTTTAACACCGAAAACATCCGTGTCGGCCTCTTTGAGGCATAGGTGTCGCTTGTCCCCGTTGTTGTTCGCTTTGTATTTAGAGCCCTTTTGTTCAAGCGTAATTCAGAGCTAGAATGCGAGAGGTTTTTTTTAATGGGTTCTATAGAAACAGAGGTTTTGTCCTACGCGGGCGATATCGCACTGTTTTTCGCAGACAAAAAAAAAAAAGTATCGTGGAAGCTTTAAGACTTTGCACGTCGTCCTGCGCTGCAACGGGGGCTGCGGTTAGTCTAGGCAAATGCGTTGGTCTATGGTATAAGACGTGGGCTACGACGCCACCAATGTACGAAAGGATACGATGAGACACTATCCCGTTCAAATACCTCGGGGCCCCGTTGCCGCACATGAAAAGCACAGCACCCTACTGGGAGTGTGTAGTAGAGCAACTCAGGAAAAGCGCATCTGGATGGGGCAACCGCAATTAGTCTATTTTCGCTCGAGCAACTGTATATAATGTGTTTTTAGCCACCAAGCTATGGTATGTCCTCCAAGTCTTATGGTGCACGCGAAGCTGCACCCAGCAGATGCATCGAGTCTTCGCGCTGCTTGTTTGGTTGTCGGAAAGTGAACCGATGTGCCGGGATAATCCCTGTCGTCGTGTTTCCAAAGGAGGTGTAGGGCTCGCCCATCTTTTTGTTCGAAAAACTGTTTGTTGTTTCATTTTCGTACGCGATCAACAGAATCCACTGTTGTAGGTAATGATCCAAACAGGCCTATAGCTCAATTCCTGCCGTCCTTCCTCGGTGTCTTCAGAGGTGGGACGGCCCGCAAAGATGGGTGGGTCTATAAAGGAAGTTGTAGACTCTTGATTTTTTGGTTGTGAGATTTTCAATGGATTATTTGTCGACTGTAACGCGCAAAAGATTGACCCGCGACCTCCTTGACGTACTTTTTCCGGCGCCGCTTTATGGGCTGCCGTATGTGGCAGGTCCTGGAAAGGATGTACTCGCCCGTGTTAAGAGAATGTGTGTGTTGCCCGCTGTAAAAACGTTTTCCTTCCGTTTAAGCTGTCGCCTTGCCAGTGAAGGTGAGTCTTCAGGAGCGTGGCATGTACAGTGCTCGTCAAACTTATATGGAACACTTGTGGAATATTGAATGCAGAAAAAGAGATAAAATATGAGAGAACTGCGCATATTTATGTGAACTGAAGGTATGCTACGGACATAGTGGGACACAAAGAGGAATAGCTTAGGGCTAGCGTCGGCTATTCACGCACACATAGAAAAAAATAGAACAAGCCGAGAGTAGGCTTAGCATGCGTTCCAGATAAGTTTGTTGAGCACTGCACATTCCTCGGGGTGTAAATTGTTTGTTGTGTCGACAGGCTGAGACTATTGAGCACGCGTTCCTGCATTGCTGGGACGCTGTCTTCTTTTGGGACGTTCTACACCGGACCCTGAAAAAAGATCAATGCACTGATGAATACACTATTCGTTTTTTTTTCCCGTGGAGAAAGGTGAAACTGTGCCTTACGATCTGTTTATGGCCGTTGGATTGTACGGTCAGTGGAGGTCTCGTCTGGTGGTGCGGCATGCCGAAGTTCATCCAAAGTCGGGGCGTTTATTTTTATTGGAGTTGTTTTGCAGGTCAACCGTCTTTTTGAAAGGAGTGATACCATGCCCAAGGAGGTCGGCCTGTTAGATGACCCAATAAGCACGAAGGAGTTTACGAAGGATCATTACGTAACGTGATCGCGAAGCGCTAGTAGACCACGTGACAGGTCACGTGACTACGTAACTGGCGGACCACACATACCTTAGTGGTCACGTAACTATAGACTGCGTTATCACGTAATTCATAGTGATCACGTAATCACGTGGCCTATAGAGATTAGCTGAAATCGCGTGCCCGTTCCTTACGCTGGCCACAAAATGTTTTTCGGCAACACTTGTACATGGCGGCTCTAAGGTCACTAATCCAAGTGGCTACCTTGATGCTGTAGTAAATAGAGCATCGGGCTGCAAAACGAAAAATCCGGCTGTTTGGGTTAAGTTACTTTATTTATTTAGTAACCCCTCGAAGGTCCCAGCATGGGGCACACTACGCAACTAATGGGCTGCTGGAGACCGCAATAAGTAGACAGAGTAAAAAGAACGGCAAACGTTATACACTCAAGAACGATATTGCCATCCGCAAAACGAACAAAAGTTATATACCGAAATAAATAAACGAGGAAGACTTTTTCACTTTGGAAGTCTTTGCACCGCATAAATTAGTATTCGCTTAAGACATTGTCAGCAGTCCATGGTCTGGCAAAACGCTTCATTTGATTATTGTCAAGGTAATTGAAAAGTTCGCAAAAAAGGTGATGGATGCGGAGATGGGCTGCATTTTGCAGGTGTTTTGTACTCCTGGGTAGGTACTAAGGTTTTCTTTTGTAAAGACAGCTGTCCGTGCTATTATATTTTCTGAACGGCTTTTCGTGACGCTCTGAACTTAGAAACTAGCCTATAAAAGTATTCTGCTCTCTAAATACCCGATGGGTTTTTCTTCAAATGATGAATGTGAGATAAACCTATATGATGAATGGTTGCTCACGTTTGTAGTGCATTTTAGATTTTTAAAACAAAGATCTGTTAGGACTTTCATTGATTCAAAGTATTAGATTATCGTTACAGTTACGGGAATGTAAGGTGCTGTTGTATACCGTTCAAAGAACGACTCCTCGAATTATTTTGAAACGAATTCGATCTGAGGTACGAACACACGAGGAAAGGAAGAATAATTTCTTGTTTGTTCTCACTGTTGAAACAAGTACCCGCTGTGAGCTCCATTTGTTCAAACTACGCGAATAGCCGTTGATGGTCCAGGAATGTAGCGTGCCGTTTATATCCTTATAATTTCTTAAAAATCGCGTTAGTACAATATCTGTATAAAGCAAAACGAAAACGAAACAATGCTCGATTGTGAAGATGGTCACAGATATAAGTAGTAACTCAGGAAGGCAAGTGTAACGACTCTCATATCCAAGCATGCTTCAGCCGCGAGGAGTGCCTGGCCAATTCTATTAAGATATCTTCAGACATATGCAAACAAAACAGGGAACATCGTTTATGTTTGTCATTCCATAGAAAACGGCACAAATTCTATAAATTCCACTCATGACCGAATGTTCCCAAGGCGTTCTTTTGTTCTTTGGCAGGGAAGCGTACCATAAACACCATTCCTTGGGAGACCGCTTTTTTGTAGTACCGTTTCCCACAACATAAGCTTGTACAAGAAAGCCCAGTTATTTACTTCTTCACACTATTTACTTCCATTCTCTCTCTTTCTCTCTCTGTCGCTCTTCGTCCGCAGGTGATGCGACTAAAGGGTCGCGAAGGTAACCCGGAGGAATGCCGTGGCCTTTTAACAGAGGAACTGTCTTTCACAGACTACCTGAGAAGAAAACAGCAGAGAGTGGCAATGACTAACGTCACTACTTCAGCAGTGAATGCCCAGAGTTGAAGCACCAGCGTCAAATGAAACCCACATATGATTCCGGACATTCGTGCACAGAGACCAAACTCATGAAATAAAGGGAGTAAAGTTCATGGCATCGTTTTTGTCCCTCAACTCAAGATCTTGTTCACTGTAAATGGGTGACACGTGCGTAAACCATGCACGGTTCCAGCGCTTATAACTCTGAAGTAGATTGCTTTATCAATGAACTGTGGACGCCCACACGCCGCCTGATGTAGGTGTCACAGAAGAGAACTATTACGCAAGCCCAGAACGCGTTGCACAGTCCAACAAACGAAGCTGGCAGCTCCCAGTAGGTGATTCTTATAATAAATAGTCTCTGCGTTGCCAGATTCTTTGTTAAACTCGACAGCAGAAGGTTAGCTCGCGTCGCATGCGAATAGATTAGCATTAGCGCGTTTGCACCTTTCCAGCGCTTTCCACTCGGGCAAAACAAAAATGTCGGGCCACTTGGTTGCAGACGCATCGCGGCGTCCCATGTTTCATAGACTAGAGTTATAGCTGCCGCGAACGATCAGCGCAAGCACCACAGCCCGGTAGGAAAAAACCGCAGTGCACATAAGGTGAGTATTGGAATGGTCTCTATAGTCACTGGCAGTAGAAGAAATGCTGGCCTTGGTGAGTCTCGATCACACTCTCTCGGCAGCCAGTGAAATTACGACATTACAGGATACGAACATTGAAGAGCGAACCAAGAAGTAGGAAGCGTGACTAAAATTGGCCACAACCGGCGCTTCTAATACCCCTGTCAAACAGCGCCCTGAAGCTCCTGTTAAAGAAAAAAAAAAATCCTTTCCGCTAAAGGATGTTCGCGACTTTCACGGGGGCCGCACTGATTCATATTAAAACGGCTGTCATTTGGATGATCGCCGTAGAACACCAGTGCCAGGTTGGGACTGCGACGCATGAGTAACAGGATATACCTTGCTGGGCTGGTTGGTTGAACGACATAATGAGAAACAGCGCAAAAGGGACAGGACACAAAGTAGAAGAAGGACACAGGACAAACAATCAAGGGTTTACTTTAACTTCCACGCGCGCACAGTAACCCGCGCAAGCACAAGCTCTTCTCTCTCTTTCAAAAGAGATAAATGCTAATAAAGAAAGAAACAGCGGCACTAGAAGGACGTAGCAAAACGCGTGACCAAAATAAATATAAAAAAAAAAAATTAAAATTCTGACAGCGGCACGAGAAAACAATAAGATCATTTATATCTTCATTCTAGGAAACCTCGAAGAAAAGGGTATGCGATGTTCTTCTATTTTTTGACCAATAGAAGTAAGAATAATCATCTTACTGATTATGTTTTATAGTATTCAAGAATGACTATGTTGATAAAACTTAGCAAAAAAATTTCGCCTAAAACCAAGCTTTTTCTTTCTTTTTTTTCTATTTTTGGCAGGAGTAGTAGTGCACTTTTACTTCTCTTGTCCGAAACATAAAAACGGGTAAATATAAATTACATTACGTTTAGTCTTCGACAGTATAGAAGAGTTTGACAATTTGCTTTTTATTTATAAGACTTCCTTATAAGTTAGAGCCCATCGGCACGCTAAAACAAATTGTAGCGCGCCTGAATTAAGGTTCATAGGAGGTTCGCTCGATAAGTTTTGCCTCCTGGGACGTAACTTTTTTATTCTGTGATGGAAGAAAAAGACGTTATATTCAAATTAAATTTCGGAGTCTTTTTTTCTTTTTTTTTTTTTTGTTAGAAGCACATAATGTTTTTGTATGCTAGTACTTCTAAGCGGCGAGGCTCTTCTGCCACCGTTGCTCCAGTCTCTGGAATGGTTTCCGTTGCTGCTTCATTCTTGGAAGAATGAGGCGGCTGTTGACGACACCAACGGCGCAATGCATTGGTGATCCCTGTCGGGCGCGAAGTGCGTGCTTTTCAGATGTCCCTTCATCTCGGAAAAACAGTTAGACGTCTCGCTGCAGGAGGTCCGCGCTCTAGGGTGGGTGAGACAAAACATCTCGAAACTGCAGCTCCTCCAGGTCTCGTCAACAGCCGCCCTCATTCTTCTACGACGGCAGGCAACGGTGACGGAAGGGCATCGCCGCGGGTGGGGAGGCGACTCTGTTGAAACAATGGTCTAGTCCTGCGAAAGAAAGGGTTCCCCAACTTTCATTTGAATATGACATATCCCATTTCCATCGCCGAATAAAAAGGTTACAGCGCAGGAGACAAACCTTATTGAACACCAGTTGTATTTACAGATGGTGGAGAGCGGCAAATTTTGGGTTTTTTTTTTTTTCTTTTCTAATACGAGACCTCTGATTATCAAGAGCTGACAATCAGAACCTTCTGCCTAATATATGGGACTGTGACTCCTTGCAATTTTAAGTGACGAGCTTGCGGATGCAGAGTTTTGCACAAGGATCTTTACATTGTAATTTTATTTGTGCACAGCCGGGATTACGCGCCACCACTTTTGCAACGGGTGGACTTTTTCGCCTACCAATCTATAAGCACCTTTTTGGTAAATAAGGATAATATATACGCTTCCTTATTTACTAAAGGTGCCAGTTGTAGCTTTTTTGCCTAATGGTCCCGGAGAACTATTTCTACAAATAAAATCGGAATGATTAATAAATTAATCGATTGAGTCAACTAGAAGTAAATACCAAATAGACTATCGCCCGAAAAAAAAAAGTCGTTGTAATAATACAATATTTCGCGAAAGATCTGGCGCACGTTGGCAAGGTTTATGTATTTATTTATGCATGCTGTTAGCCTATTGAGGCTGTTACAGGAGTGCACAAAGGAAGATAATACATTTGATAAAATAAACAAAACACGGACACTATGGCAACAACAGTTGAAAACATACACGTAAAAACATACGTGAATACACGAAACATGTCCCTACACTCACACGAAAATACATGCCAATACATGCATTCAAAATGCATCGATACAGTTATAGAAATACAGAGCGCTCGACCTGAATTCACAGATCTTCATAAAGTCACAAACAAGGATGCACACAATATCATGATACAGAAAAAAAAATCTAATGGTTTTACGTGAATATGAAGCACTAGTGACGGGTTAATTTTTATCAAAAAGGTTTAGTGGGCCTTTTTGAAAGAAAATTAGTGTATTTGCTGTTGTTATCTCTTGAGATAGGTTGTTCCAGTCTTTCTTGGAACAAGGAGTATTTACATGTATCATTATTTGCCGTATCTAGTTGGTATTGGTTTAAGTGGTTGCCTCTGAGGTGCCTGTTTCGCCGAGCAACTATGTAAGGTTCAGTATTAAAATTAAAAGTACAATATTTTAGCATTGAAAAGAATTTTAGGCGAGCTATTTTCCTATGGTCACAGAGCTGTGGAAGGCTTAGGTCAGTAAGCATTTCCTGCACCGATTCTCTTCTTTGATATCTGGACAATATAAATCTGACTGCCAATTTTTGTATTTGTTCAAGTTTAGTTATCTGATAGGTTCTAAAAGGATCTTAAATTATAGAAGCGTATCCTAGAGTTGGCACTACGGCCAATTCTAGAACCCGAGAGAAATGTCCCTCTAATGTCTCTAATTCTCACACAATCCCTCTAATCCTCACATGCAGGGCGCCCTCGGACGGAAATAATCCCGGAGAAAAGCTTACTGTTATAAATCTTAGTGCAGGAAAGCTCGCTGGAAAAATGCTAACCGGAGAAAAGCTGACTGGAGGAAAGCTCAACGGAGAAAAGCTCACCCACGTTTTGGCGGGACCGGAGGAAAGTTCAGCCGGCTTTGGTTTGACTCAGAGAAAAGCTACCGTAGTCTGGAATTTAATTTTTTAAACGCTGTGGCTGCTTTACCTTTAGAGCACCAGTGCAATCGAAGCTCTATGCTCCTCCCACGCAGGACTGTTTCAAGCGAGGCTGCTCAGCTCAATTCCCCCCTAGGAGACAAGGCCGGGGGCATGACGTCACAGTTAGTGGATCCCCGAACCACCCCAAGCAGCAGACGCGCCCGTCTTGGCATCACCTGGTTCTAGCGTCTCGCTCTTTGTGAGACGCTGCGAGTAGTGTTAGCGTTAATACAGACGTAAGCTAGGCGGCACTGAGTGGATGCTCTAATGGTGACTTTTAGCAAGGTAAGGCCTCGTGTTCATGGTGGTGCTGCCCTGCAGTAGATCTCGTTTCGCTTCCACTTCGACGATTTTTGGCGCGACTGTTGCTATAATTAGTTTTGACTTGACCGGCGAAATATCAACTTTGCTTATTTGCCGATTCAAGAGCCTTAGCATTGAAGGTGCACTTTCAAAAACAAATGGACAAATGTGAAGAGTTAGCATAGCTCATGAGGTGCCACCTACTCCTTAAAGGTTTATTCAATGTACAAAAAAATAACCAAAAGTTACTCAAACTGCAGAGAATTACACTGGGTATATTTTAAAGCGTGAGATGCTTTTTGACGCAATCCCCCAATGCCAAAACTTTGTCCGATCCCTCCGTCCGTCCCTCCGTTCATGCATTTCCCGCTAAATCTAGCGCGGAAATTGATATCGCGAGACCTATACACGAATTCAGGTTTTCAGGTAAATATAGCGGGAAAATTGATGTCACGTGAGCCGACGTCACAGCATATACAGACCGATTCAGTTTCCCCACTAAATTTAGCGAAAGAAATTGACGTCATGTGACCTATAGGCCAATTCAGTTGCCCGCTAAATTTAGCGAAAAAAATTGACGTCATGTGACCTATGCGCCAATTCAGTTGCCCGCTAAATTTAGCGGGAAAATTTACGTATTGTGACCTAGACACCGATCCAGTTTCCCCGCTAAATTTAGCGAGCGAAATAGACATCACGTGACCTGACGCCACATGACCTATAGACCCCTTTCAAAAAATCTGGCAACAGCGAAAATCCGCTGAACGAGTCTAACAACATTGGGCGGCCGGCGCCATTGGGAAGGACCCTGTTGCGGCCGGCATGGTGGTTTTGACTGTAGCGTTCTTGTTTCGTCGATCCCTTCGCCTCTGTATGGCTGCAGGTAGCGTTTTCCCGATCACGGGTTGGGTAAACGACCTCTCCCAGCTCCCAGCCGTTAAAGATGATGAGGTATATCGCTTCTTCAAGA